ACTCGGGAATGCCTAACTCCTTCTCCCGGGTTAACACAATTCCTTACCCGAATTTTTGTGTTCGCGGACTGTAAACAGAGTCAATCTTTCCTCGATTCGGGATTTAAACCGGTGACTTGGGACACCATAAATTAACCCAAGTGGCGACTCTGATTTCTTAAATAATTAATCCCATTTCGATTGTCACTTAAATTGGAAAAAACTTCTCTATCCCTTTCGGGGTAGTAAAAAGGAGGTGTGACAAAAGTATGGTAGAGCGACGAGGTTTTAGGAAGACAGTAGTAAGGATAAGGAAAGACGAGTGAGAAGGTGACAAGAATGGATAAGTCATCGGGATTAAGCCCATGAAAACAAAAGAGCTGATGGTTTATCTATGTTATAGAAAACTTAGTATAGCCTGAATGAACTCAAAGGAGTCTAAGGGTAGTAACATTTAGAAGAGATGGAACACTGCCATGGTAGTAGAATGAGGGTGTAATTGTGGTAGATAAAGGATGACGTTTGGGCCTTCGATTGAGTAATGATTTGAAAAAAGGGATTTCAAGAATTGTACATGATTAAAATGCCCCCACCTATAAGATGAATTACGTTGGGATACTATGGAATACGGTTATTGGAGTATAGTATCGCCGCTAGGTGAATTAGGCAAGTCACTTCAGATTTCCCCCGATGAGACGTAAGCCCTAGTGGCAATGTATTACATAAGAAGTTTCAAGTTCTCAGTAGTAGATTGTAGATCGATATTGAGGTGAATCAACAATGGATGGATAAAAGTTATAAAGTATGAGATGAGGTTAGGCACTGGAAGCCTTAAAGGGATAAATATTACCTTAGCGTGGCTTCCGTCCCTAGTAGAGAGAGAATGTTAGGCAACCCGAAGAGCTAGTGGATGGAGCAAAGGGGAGCTAAAAGCAAAAGAATGTCTTGTTGAAGTTTTCAGAATAAAGTGATAGACACAAATATTAGCAGGGAAATAAGAAGGGAGATAATGAAGCATTATGAGTAAGATGTGATACATGGATGGAAACGGTAAATCAAAAAAATAACAGTATTACAGAGTCTATAGTCAAGTGAAGGAGAGGTGACAGGCCTTGAGACAACAAAAGAGTATAGGCCATAAATTCATATAGATAGATAACCGGGTCTATGAAATAAGATATAGCAATATTTGTAAGTTCAACAAAGTATCGAGCGAAGAACTTCAGTACACCTATAGATGCCAAGAGGGACACCTTGTAAAGTTCTGTATATGTTCACAAAGTGAGGCCTAGAGATTGGCTAAAAGCTGTAGGAAAAAGGAGAGGAGAGTCGCATAGGCGCACATACAAGGGCAAAGTCATACGGACTGCATGATAGAAGGTAACAATAGTTACGACATTGGAAGAATTCCAACGACAAGTCGTGGTGTGAGAAAGAGGCCCAAAGGGGGGAATACCCTGACCTTTGGATTTATTCACAGAACAGTTGCCTAGGTGGCAAGGAGAGTACTAAAGTATTTGAAAGACATAGGTTATGAAAATGATAAGTGCATCAGTCAACATTCGAGGACGAAAGTTCCAAATGAGGGAATGATGTTGCACTCTGGAGTATTACGACGATGTTACACCCCGTAGTATTGTACGTTGGATTTGTCGTAAGATAATTGACATCAGTTCAAGGACAATATTATTTTGAGGTTCAAACAAGTGATAATTAAATTCGTGAAGGTGAGAGGGTAAGCAAATCGAAGAAAATGAGTTTTATCGAAGTTTGAGATTTTGGGATAAAATAAAATCTAAGCTATAGTACCCCGTATTTACGGACTAGTGTCATACAAGGTACCGCATGACCATGATAGTAAGGTATACAAAGTCGGTTAAAAGTGATGAGTATTTTAAGTAATTTGAGTTAATTCATAAATTATGTGGATAATTGGATAATTATTGATTTTTAGTGGGAGATTATCTAATTAATTAAAATATTTGGATAAAGATTAAAGAACCTTAACGTGGCAGCAAATGCCTTAGGAAATAGTGACTCTTAGTTCATTAGGTTAGGTGGCATAATTAGGAAGCCTTTAGGCAAAACTTAGCCACAAAAGTGGGGCCCACAAGCCAACAAATTTAAGAGATCTCTTTACCTCAGTATTGGATACTAAGCTTGCGAAGTAACGGATGGGGGCTCAAATAATTTGTTTGAAACTTCATAATACGATAAAGCGTGAGATTTGAGATTCTAAGAGAGTATGGTGCAATCTTTCTCAAGAATATCATACGGATTTTTCCCTACTTCGATCCGCCGTTACGTGTTTTATCACAAAAGACGTGTGTTAGAGAGATTGTCAAGAGAATCGGCTCATGTATGCTAAGGCTATCCCTTATTTCCTTTTGGCATGATCCATACGATACAAACAAAACGAGCAAATGCACAATTTTCATAAATGACTCTATTTATAGAAGTACTAGAAGTACCCATGTTCTTGATTCCCCACGTGTCTTAATATTATATCTTCTGTTCATGGGTCTCAGAAAATACGTAAGTCGATAAAGTTTATTTCATGATATTAATCAAAGTCGTAATGATCTTATGCCATACCGAGAAATCTTATTAACTCACTTTTTATGCATTACATTCAGTTATACATGCACATTGACCCATGATCATATGGCGTTACATACGCGTATGTGTATGTGTGTGTGTGTGTATATATATATATATATATATATATATATATATATATATCACCATGAGGAAAGATTATGGCGTTATATACGCACCACCACCTGACCAGCTGGTATGCGTTGATGATTTTACCCACAATGACCGAGATGATATGATGGGATGCCCTCAGAGGCTTGATGATGTTATGTACGCATATACCCATGCATCATGTGACATTTATACGCATATGCATGATGTTATAAATATTAAATGATTCACATAGCTATTTAGACTTACATGTTGAGTCTTTTACTCCATGTTTCTCTCATGTCTTTTATTTACCGATTTTCATTGCTCACATACTCGGTACTTTATTTGTACTGATGTCGCTTTTGCCTGGAACGCTGCATTTCATGCCCGCAGGTCCCGATAGACGGGTTAAGTGTCCTCCAAGTAGGCTATCAGCTCAGTGGAAGGTGTTGGTGCGCTCCATTTACTTCAGAGTTGCTCATTTGGTCACTATGATTGGACATGTATTGATTAGTATGGTGAGGCCCTGTCTCAACCTTTATGGTACTTATCTACTCTTAGATACTTGTGGACATATGTCATGTATATAAAATATTGTATGGCCTTGTCAGTCTATGCTCAGTGTAGTAGTGGTCATTTTGGACTTATAGGCGCGTAGACCAGCAACGTTGGATGCTAAGCTTGCCAATGGATGGAGCTCAAATAGTTTGAAACTTCATAATACGATAAAGCGTGAGATTTGCGATTCTAAGGGAGTACGGTGTAATATTTCTCAAGAATATCATACGGATTTTTCCCTACTTCGATCCGCCGTTACGTGATTTCCCGCAATTGATGTGTGTTAGAGGGATTGTCAAAAGAATCGGCTCAGGTATATTATGGCTATCCATTCTTTCCTTTTAGCATGATCCATACGATACAAGCGAAACGAGCAAATGCACAACTTTCATAAATGACTCTATTCATAGAAATACTAGAGGTGCCTATGTTCTTGATTCCCTATGTGTCATATTATTCTATCATCTGTTCATCGGTCTCACAGAATACGTAAGTTGATAAAGTTTATTTCATGATATTAATCAAAGGCGTAATGATCTTATGACATACCGAGAAATCTTATTAACTCGCTTCTTATGCATTGCATTCAGTTATACATGCATATTGACCAATGACCAAATGGCGTTATATACACGTATATATATATATATATGTATATGGGGTATGAGAAAAGGTTATGGCATTATATACGCACCACCACATGATTACCTGGTATACGTTGATGATTTTACCCACAGTGGCCGAGATGATGTGATGGGATGCCCTCAGAGGCTTGATGATGTTATGTACACATATACCTATGCATGGTATGCCATTTATACGCATATACATGGCATTATAAATATTAAATGATTCACAGAGCTATTCAGATTTACATGTTGAGTCTTTTACTCCATGTTTCTCTCATGACTTTCATTTAGTGATGTTCATTCCTTACATACTCGTTACTTTATTTGTATTAACGTCCCTTTTTCCTGGGGACGCTGTGTTTCATGCCTGCAGGTCCCAATAGACAGGTCAAGAGTCCTCCAAGTAGGCTATCAGCTCAACGAAAGTTGTTGGTGCGCTCCATTTGCTCCGAAGTTGCTTGTTTAGTCTGTATGATTTGGACAAGTATTGATTGGTATGGCGGGGCCCTGTCCCGACCTTTATGGTATTTATCTACGCTTAGAGGCTTGTGGACATATGTCATGTACGTGAAAGATTGTATGGCCTTGTCGGCCTATATTTAGTGTACGAGTGACCATTTTGGTCTTATAAGCCCATATATCATATGTATAAGTTTGTATTACATGTTGGGTCACCTATGTCGAGTATTCCCTCATGTTTTATTCTAGTAATCTCACGGAAGCCTTTCTGTCTCATTCACCTATGATAGTATGATACGAAAGATACGTTATGTTGGTACGCGGTTGAGTAAGGTACCGAGTGAACGTCGCGGCCCATCGGTTTGGATCGTGACACCTATAAATCCATACATTATGCATTATGCTCTTACCATTAGAACAAAGTCCGAGCAGAGCATTTGACTTCTTTTTGTAGAGTTTTAATCAAATCCAAATTGATTACGGAAGCAAATAAGTTTCTTAGTAGGATATGATTCATTCAAATATAAAAAGACACACGAGTCAAACAAAAATCAAAACAAGAAAAAGAAGGGAAAAAATAGAGAAACATTCCCCTATGGGCTATGATATTTATTTTCAAAGTTGACCATATTAGAAACACCATTTGAAGAGAGGATCTAACCTTTTTTATTTAAAAGGATCTAACTTACAGAGAAAGAAAAATGTGAGGCAGGATCTGTCCCCACCCTGTACATATCAAAAATAGACTTAAAAAAAACATCTGTCCACCATTTTCAACTAATCTTGGACCCATTTCTTCATCAGTCATCACCCCCGCCCCCCAAACCCCCACCCAATTTTCCTCCATTTTTCATTATTGCTTTCATTCCTTCCCTTAGAACGCACACACAGAGAAGAACTGAAGTGAGGAAGATGGGTATACCAAGAAACACAGGAGAAGGTGTGGATGTGCTAAGTGAAAGAGCAAAAATGATGAGAGATGCAGTGGAGAAGAGTCAATCTATTACAGACAACGTGGTGAACATCTTGGGTTCATTTGATCACCGTCTTTCTGCTCTTGACACTGCTATGCGTCCCACACAGGTCAGCAATTTTCCTTTTTCCTGATCTAATTTTGATCAGTACTTGCTAATATTTGCAATTACATTTTTGATCAGTTTTCCTGTCTATTGTTTGCAGATAAGGACTCATGCTATTAGGAAGGCTCATGGAAATATTGATAAGACTTTAAAGGCTGCTGAGGTTATATTGTCCCAATTTGATATTTCTCGTCAGGTTTGATTTTGCTTTGGCCTCTATTGTTTGTTTTGTCGTTTGGTTTGCTTAGATCTGATAGACTGCTCTTTTTAGTTTACTTAACTGAACATGAATATGGTGGTGGGTGGTGGTGATGTTTAATGGTGGTTGTTGTGGGTGCTGGCTGGCGGTGGTTATTGGTAGTGGTGATGGTTAATGGTGGTGGTTGTGGGTGCTGGCTAGCGGTCAGTTATTGGTAGTGGTGGTGGCTGATGGTGGTGGTTGTGGGTAGTAGCCAATGGTAACAGTGGTAGTTAAAGATGGCAGTTGATGATTTTGGTAGATGATTGTGATAGATAATGGTGGTGGCAGCTGATAGTGGTGGTTGGCGATAATGACGCTGGCTCATGCTGGTGATTTCCGGTGGTCGTGGTAATGGTGTTTGGTGGTGGTATTGTAAGTGGTGGTTAGTAGTGGTGACAACTGAATGTGGTGATTTGTGGTGGTCGTGGTAACGGTGGTTGGTGGTGATAATTTAAATGGTGGTTAGTAGTGGTGACAACGAATGTGGTGATTGACGGTGGTAACAGCTGAGTGTGGTGATTGGCGTTGGTGGTGGTAGTTGGGCAGCGGTGAAAGTGGATGGAGTTGTGGTGAAATACTTTCTATCAGAAATCCTGGAATAAATAACATTTTAAAAATATTAGAACTTAGTATATTTGTTAGTATTCAAATATGTAGCAGAACCATTAAGTGGTTGTAAAAGAAAAGAAAAACAATCAAATGCATTTAATGATCGAGATCTCGATGATCAAGATTCTAACCTAAAAACAAACACGCTTAATGAAATGACTGAGATCTGAATGATCAAGATTCAGACCTTCATTAAGTTCAAAAAAATGAGACCTTAGTGTTTAAGATGAGCTGAAACTTCCCTCAATATATATGTGATAAGTTTCAGTCTTTCAGATGTATACAAATAGATATAGATTATAAATGAGCATAATCTTCCTAGAGCTAGAAGTGTGATTGGGATAACATTTGTGTAGTGTATAAGTATACCCCTTGTACATGAACATAGGACAGAAAAGAAAAGCTTATTTTTCACTATCCATTTCCTTTCTTGAATTTCTTGTGGTATTAGAGTTTAGGCTCAAACTTGAAGCGTGATCGTAAAGCTCTCCCTAAACCATCCAGCCATGACCTCTCCTTCAAACTCCAACCTCACACTTTCACCTCTTCATTCACCAACTCATCGCTACTTGTTCTATCAAGCTGAAACTGTCAGGACAAAAATCTTCTAACTCATGCATACTTTAAAGGATCGCCATTTTGTAAATGATGAACCTCTATCCGCCACCCCGGACCTGCAGAATGATAAAGGAGAAACAAATCCTAACCCCAAGCTCACAGAGTCTAAGAACATGGCGTTCTTGTTTGAAGTTGGCTCTCTGGTCCTCAGAGGGTGCTCGTGCTTCGCAACGGAGCAAATGTAGCTTTTTCTTGAATCCAATTAGCTACGGGAACTGAAAAATGATATTCTCTTATCATATAATTTTTCAGTTCTTTCTTCTTATATCATGATGTAAAAATGTGTTTCATTCCAGCTTCTATCATTTTGGGCTCTCCAATTTTGTAACAAGATCAAAAGAGAAGGGCAAAAGAATGATTTCTCCAATACCCAAATCTTCAGGATTGTAAAAGTTGAACCCAAAGACTGCCGGCAAAAAGCCCCTGTAGAATATGAAAAGAATAATTGTTTGCTGCTAGCCTGCTACATTTTCCCTGTAAAAAGTTGAGTGTAGCTGGAATATGATTTTAGAAAGAATATTCTGCTTTAGATGTATTGGTTAAACCGCTCTTCTCTGGGAGCCAAAAATCGAGAAAGTGAAAGAAAATCCACTTTGAAAATGTTGTCCCTTTGTGCCTTATCAGGTGCGAGAATCCTTTATATCTTTGTGATAAATTTTTTCAGATAAGTTGGTCTTTCTTAAATGCACATTTTTAATTTAGAACTTCTTAATTAATGGTAGCTTTATTTTAGGCTGAAGTTAAAATACTTAAAGGGCCACATGAGGACCTAGAAAGTTATCTTCAAGCAATTGAACAGCTGAGAAACAATATTCGCTTCTTCAGCAACAACAAGAGCTTCAAGAGTAGTGATGGAGTGCTCAATCATGCTAATAGTTTGCTAGCCAAGGCTATCTCAAAGCTCGAAGAGGAGTTTAAGCAGCTCTTGTTATCTTATAGGTTTGCTAACATTTTTACTGCTTACAACATATTCTGTTTGTAGACTTATTCTTGAAACCTTGTTTTACACTTTATTCTGATCCTGTTTCCTAGATACTTTGCGTGTAAATTCTTTCCCAGCAGGAATTCCATGAAAACCTATTTGTAGACTTATGATTGGTTTGAAATTCAAGTATTGATATTGATAGGAGTTGTAGTTTTCTCCTATTTGCCATATAAAGATTAGTGAAGTATTTAAGGAAGTTAAAATGGTTGTTTCAGTGCTCTTTAAGTTAACCTTTATTTAGGTTGTGATTATACCCTAGTACCATTTTCGGATTTGGGATTAGAGGGGCATCTTGTGAGGTATATCCTTGTAAGTTGTTGCTATAAGTTCTAAAATCCTATGTCTTGCCTATGTTCTTAATCTTCAATACTCCAACGAGGCTTCAAAATTGAAGTAGAAATGCACCCAAATACTGCTATTTGACCTTCCAATTGAGCTTTTTGATTAAATAAGAATTCTACATTTTCAGTAAACCTGTTGAACCTGATCGGCTGTTTGAGTGTCTCCCAAATTCAATGCGACCATCGTCTGGATCACCTGGACACCAGGAGTCTAGTGGTAAGAACCGTCTGTCCAATAGCAATGCTGAGCAAAATGGTGCAGAAAATGCTGTCTTCACACCGCCAACTCTTATACCTCCAAGGATCCTGCCTTTACTGCATGATTTGGCCCAACAGATGGTTCAAGCTGGTCACCAACAGCAATTTGTAAAAATATACAGGTAAATATCTATTTCTAACCATGAACTATATGATCTTGACATCTTGTACAGACAATGTTGCTTTTTAAGTATAATATCCTGGAGAAAAGATCAATCTGCCGGCCTAAAAGCTGAACTATTCTCTACGAAGCAGTTCAGCATTTGCAGAGAAATAGGCGAAGCTTAAGATAACTGCGATACATGCTTTGACAATGTCTGGCTTAATTTGACACGTAATCTGAGTAGATTAATTTGGAACCGAAAGTCGAACTTATGGACTGTTGACACAATTTCCGCTTGTTGCAGAAGTTTAAATGTCCAACACAGTAAATAAGGTGCTCATCAAAGTGGTTATTATGGCTTTTGGTATTCTTTAGTCGTAGTAACAACAATGATAGCAGTAGAGGATGCTCTTCTTCTCATTATTTTATACATATATATATATATATATATATATATATATATATATATATATATATATATAGCAGAGATGAGGATGTTAAGATGGATGTGCGGACACACCAGGTTAGATAGAATTAGAAATGAGGTTATTCGCGACAAGGTGGGTGTCCCCTATTGAGGACAAGATGCGGGAAGCGCGGCTTAGGTGGTTTGGTCATGATAAGAATGGACCTTGGGCCTAACTCAACCCCAAAAGCTAGCTTGTGATGTGAGGATTGCTCAAGACCATATAAGGAGACCAAGATACCCATAACCCACCGATGTGGGACACAACTCAACACCCCCTCACGCCCAGGCCTGCTACTGGAGCGTGNCAGGATAAATAAGATTATGACTGAAGACTTTAAAAAAAACGTGGGCGTGGCCCCAGTCGAGGACAGGATGTAGGAAGCGAGGTTTAGGTTATTCAGGCATGTGACAAGGAGAGGAACATATGCCCCAGTAAGGATGTGTAAGAGTTTAGCCTTGGGGGTCTGCGGAGAGGTAGAGGTAGGTCAAAGAAGTATTGAAGAAAGGTGATTAGATAAGACATGGCACTACTTCAGCTTACCGAAGACATGACCCTTGATAGGAAGGTGTGGAGGTCAAAAACTAGGGTATAGGGTTAGTAAGTAGTCGTACTTTCTTATTTTCAGATTATTATCCTATCTGTTGGTTCTTTCACTTCAGTTATCTTGTTATCTTGCCGGTGTTGTTGTTTGCTGCTATTGTTTTTTTCTTTTTCATCTTTCCTTGAGCCGAGGATCTACCAAAAATAGTCTCTCTACCTTGTCAAGGTAGGGGTAAAGTCTGCGTACACATTAGCCTCCCTAGACCACACTTATGGGATTATATTGGGCTTTTTGTCGTTGTTGTTGTGTGTGTGTATATATATATATATATATATATATATATATATATATATATATATATATATATATATATATATATATAAGGTCTGCAATTTGTACTAAAAGTTTTTGGAGTGGAAATTGGTTAAACCTTAACCAGTGATTACCATATTTCTACAATTGAGCAAACCATTCCTCTTGAATCAGATCATGAGGAAATCAAACTTTTAAACTCAAAGTCTATAGAAAAATATAGGCAAAAATACAATTATCTCCATTTTTGTTTAGTACAAATTGCAGCTAGACCTCTGTCCAAGGAAGGTCTAGACACGTCTCTACCCCTCTGTCTTAGAGATTCTAGATTTTTAGACTTCAATGATTCCCTCCTAGTAATGGTAGAAACCAGCCTTTGTAGCGGTCCAATTTACTTTGATTGTTTTCCTATTTTTACAGTGTCTCTTAGAGATAGAAATATCTTAGATCCTTTAACTCTGAATGTTAAAACAGTTAATTATAAAACTAAGACTGGATCCTTACCAGTAGCAATTATTTATAGGATACAGTATAAAGCCATGAGTTCAGCCTTTAATACTAGAGCCATGAAAACCCTCCATAAAGGAGAAACTGTTCTTTTTAAAACAGATCTACAAAGATCTCATCTGTCAATACCAAGACCCATTTCTTGGAGCCAAGTTTCTCTACCACAAAACTGGTTACTAAAAGATGCTACTCAGGCCGAGAAACCGGAAAATACTACGGTCTCTCAGATCCAACAATATTCTAGCAGATCTGTAGCCATTGCCTTCCAAAGGTCCCTTAGCCAAAGAGTCTCTGTCTCTTCCTCTTCAGCACAGTCTGAGATTCAGTCTGGAAGACATTCAATATCTTCTTTTCCTTCTAGGATCGAAACTGTTAATTTTGACTCTAGGATCCCACAAGCCAAATATTCTGTAGAAACAGCCCCTCCAACAGAAGTTAATTATGAACAACCCCAATCTCCCACTTAATCAGCTTTAGGTGCTGAATTAGGTGTTTTGGAAAAAGATTTTCAAATTGATATAGAAAAACTTCGAGCAAATTTTTATTTACAAGAAAATATTTTCAAAAGAACTTGGTTTTTCCAGAATTTTCAAGGAGACGAAATAAAAAATCTCCAAAATATTTACTATGAGTCTTTAAACTTCATAAAAGAACAAATTAATTTCTTTCAATGGTTTGAAGCTTATGCTGAATATCACCAATTAGATTTTCCTTTTCCTAAATCAGTTAACGTTTCGAAAATTTGGAAAACTTCCTCTGGAGAAGAAGTCATCTCACAACTTCTTCCGACACAAGGATTTTCAACAAGTTATGCAAATACTTCAGTAATAGCTAATCCTTTCAAATTAAAAAACGAAAATGAAGCTATTACAGGCAAAGATATTAAAAATATTTTGAACAAAATAATTACACAAACAAAATTTACAATCTCTTGGTGAATATTTAGTTACAAAACAACCTTCAGCATCTACTAGTTCTAAGCTAGTAGAAACCTCCACTTCTTCAATCCCTTTGTTTAAACCTTATGAGATCCCTAGAACTTTCGCTACAGAACTTCGGATCTACCAAGCTAAAGACAATCCTCAGTTCTCTAACCTTCAGCGTAGGATCCTAGAAATTGAGAACGGGTTAAACTGGTTAAACCTGATGCCAGTTCTGTGACCTTGGCTCTGATACCAAGGGGACCGGAAGCGAAGCCCCTAAAAGATTAGGGAATAAATAAATAAATGTAAGGACAGGAAGCAAATAACAATATGATAATTAAACATGCAGAAGATACAGTTAGAGTGCAAGCAAATAAATTTATGGGGCAGAGCCGACCATGTAATATAAAATGTGATAAAGTAAATTAGGTGGTTGAACCGACCATAATACAGAGTAATATAAATGTAAACTTGGGCAAGAGTAAAATAAATATAAACTTGATTATTATTAAAACTAAAAAATTGATAATACAAGTTAAAAACTTATATTAATATACTAGAGAGAGAGCTCCAACCAATTCTAGAGAGAGGGAGAGAATTCTTTCTCAAATGGTAGTGTAAGGTGTGTGTCTTACAAGTGATAGGGGGAGGCTATTTATAGCCAAAAACTAAAAATTATATAGTGTTTTGAAATGTCATTCATGATGTCATTAGGAGTAAGTGCTAGCTGATGTCATGGATGATGTCAGCTGTGATGTCACTGTGCTGTCATGCTGATGTAATCTCTGATAAATTCCTCAGAACATTAAATCAGAGTCTTCTTCTTTTTCTTTTGATGATTTTTCAGATGAAGATGCTTGATTTTGTTGACCTGGAATTTGTGTCTTGAGGGTATCAATAATTTTCTCCATTTGCTGAATAAAATCAAGCCTGCTACTGGAACCGGCTAGTTGTGCATTTGCAATGGACTTTTGTTGTAAAAATAAAATTTCGGCAGCTTCTGTTATAGCTAGATACTGCGGATGAGACAAAAACCACTTTTCTATTGCTGGCACATAGGCTTCGGATGAATCCCACATTTTGTACCATTTGCAGTGGCCTTGGAGGGCTAACCATGGTAGTCCTTTATGTCCTTCTGGCTTGTGGAAGGAAAATTTCTGTGAGTATATCCATGGGATATGAAATCTGTGGGAAAATTGGAGGAGTATGGGTATCTGCTGCTCACTAGAAAACTTGTGGCAAAAATAATCATATCCTTCTTTTACTGGTGCTGAGAGGATTTCAGCTCTATGACCATAAGCAGGACACCACTAATGTATAAACCACTGAGGGAATTCGGAGGTCAATAGTTTACTCCAGAGGATAAACCATGAATGCTTTTCAAGTTGGTTTTGGAAGGTGAAAGCATTCATCCATGCTGCTTGGTAGTCATAATAATTGTAAAATTGTGGATCAAAAGGCTGAGAAAGTCTTTTGTATTTAGCTGGATGGGTTCCCCATTCTTTTGGTGAGATAATTTTGTTAATCCACACCGTAGTATGTGTGACATATGATTGGGTCTGCTTTTCTTTGTGGGGTTTAAACAAGCAAGACCTGGTATCCGTGAGAATGAACTCATAATATTTTTGGGTATGTTTGTGAGTATTTTGGATGAAATTTGCTGAAGGGCTAAGTATTTTCTTAGCTACCTCTTGGGGGTTGGAATGCCGGAGTTCTGGTTCAGCTTGAATGAGTGGGTAGACACTGTCATTCTTAATATAAGTGGGTTCCTTGGGGAAGGAGCCTTTGCTTGAAGAAATAGGTTGTGGCACTGGTGAAGAGAGTGCCTGGTTGGTTGTAGTTTTTGGGATGTTGGATAGACATCCAGTACCTGCAATGGGGCTTTTAGCCTCCAATATTTTTAGTGTGGTGCTTCTAGCAACCACAGGAAGTGAAGAGTCCGTGTGACCTTGGGCCGCCACGGGGTTGGAAGAAGATGCGTGGCTTTGTGCCGCCACATTGGAACAATAACTTTTATATAATTGGTACTGATCTCTCAGTTGTTTTTTAAATAGTCCAGGCATGGTCATTTGATCTTTAATTCCCATGAGTTGGCGCCGTTGCATGAGTTCTTCTGTCCAAAGAGAAGACATGGTCTGTGCTAGTTGAGTTTGAGCTTGTTGAGATTCTTCTTCCTCAACTAGGTCTGCCCATTTTTCCGGTCCAACTTTTAAATACAGAAAGCCATCAGACTACGTCATGAGCGGAGTTCCCAAGTTCATATGAT